CGACGAGATTTCTTTGAACAAACACCTGTTAAAACATTCTAGGAAGTATATTATATTATTTCAATTTGCTAAAACAAGTGCCGTATTTGTGCTATAGACATGTGAGATGTTACATGTTCCAATGTCCCTAAGCTTATAAATATACTAAGGTAATAGACAGAGTGCTAACTCATCATTGTTCACTTATTAATGAACATGACGAATATTATTGATCAGAATTTTAAATAAATAGTTCAAGGTAACCATATGACATTTTAATGAACCGACGACCTTTCAACTCTTCCCTGAATTTCGCTTCTTTTACATATTTAAATATTTAAAAAAAACAGTTGTGTTATATTCTTGTCCAATATGTCTTTATTTACAAATTCTGTTAAATGCAAATTGTATAAATAAGGTGCTTAGCAAATATTTATTTTTGCACAAAAAATAATTTGCAAATAACCGAAATTTAATCAATCGAAAAAACTTTACAGTATTTTGTTGGAAACATTTTTATATGCAGCCCGTGAAAACGGGTTTTCGGAATGAGTCACTATGCTTGTTTTTTTATTTAAATTGTCTCGATGCTCAAAGATTTATTAAAACTTTGGATAATTACATTGAAGTGCAATCAGCCTTTGAGATAAAGTCATGGTTGAGAATGTTGAATTCGCCTTAACAGTTTATGTCAAGAGAAGTCGAGTTTTATAACCAAAGTAAAGTACTTTGTTTAGTACTATTAATGCAATAATCTATCCCATTCCAACTTGATTCAGACAGTTTTAAATTGACAAATAAGATAAGTTTAAAGAAAGAAATCCCTAGATGTACACATTAAGACGGTCTAGGCTTTTAAGAAATACGAAGAACAGAAAAATCGATTTCTTAATCCATTTGTCTTCTTTGTTTTAGTCTTAATCAATTACACTCTCTCAAATAATTTAAATACAATCAAATTTGACATTTGTCGGCGACACAAATTACATAAATGAGATTAATGTTCCGATAGAAAGCACATTTTACAATTAATATCGCACATTCGTTAGATCCTTGTCCATTTGTCATTATTAGCACAATATGTTTCAGGGTTTTTTTGACAGGAATGCAATTTTATTATTTATGATGCCTTGCACAAAATATTTTAAAATTGGTATAAAATGTCAGTAAGTATAGGTATACATCTATTACGTCAAATTCTGAATCATGTTTTTAAACAACATCACAATTTCATATTCGTTTACAGTTAACAGCTACGGAGATTCGAAATGTAAGAATGATTAATTTAAAAGTGCCACAGAAACGACTTCCCCGGGAAACCTGATCTATAACTTTGATGTCTGTCACCGAGAATACAAAGAATTGAAGTTGTATCTAATAATTACGTTTTTAAACTTCTTGGTTTTAGTACACTCCTGGCATACTACTGAAATAAGACACCCTGGAGTAATGGTTTCAAAGTGTGGGGATATATTTCTAAGCTTATAATCACATGTCGGGATTATTGACACCATTGTATTAAACTAACAATAGTGAACCGTAATCACGCGTGATACCTCATGTGCTGGATTTGTTTTATTTTCTGCTTTTTAAAGGTAGAATAAATGCGTTGTTTTATTCGGTGTCCTTTGTATGTAAACTGGGAAAAGACTATTTAAAAAAAGGAAAATCATAAACATTATTTGCTGTCGAGACTTAGAGAATGAAATATTTATTGATGTATAAAAAGAATACAGAGTTGCAAATAAAATATCACCGTTACATTCCCCAACTTAATATATTTCCTTGTATTAATCCTAAATGTTACTCACACTTTCTCTCTATCTTGTTCTATATCAGATTTATTTTGTTAATGTTGTTTACATATTGAAACTGTTTTGTACGTTCTTGATTTGAAAGTTGTATAAATACTATAAATTGTAATGAATTTCGTTTTGAAAATGCTGTAATGGTACGACAATTGGATAAAAACAAATTAAGTTTGTCTATTGAGATCGTTGGAATAAGATAGAAATTACAGTACAAACGGAGGTCATTTTGATTATAAAAGAAATAATGGAACCTTCAGAAGTACCCTTTCGATTGTGTCTGTGTCAGTTAGCATGTTTCATTCAACCAACACGTGACAAGGTCTGTCTAGGGAATCGAATAATCATAACATGTTAACATTTCTCGAGATGTTTTGTTAATATGGTTAAATTGCTATATCTGTTACTGATGCTTGCAATAATATTATGAAAGAATAATGCTTAACAACAGATGTGGACTGGGTTGATTTAGGTGGTGTTTTCCTTTTTTCTTTACAATCAAAATTTTCATTAAATGTTTAAATATTACAATCTCATGAAACTTTTATTATGGTTCATGTCCTGCTGTGTACGTCAATAATTTACTGTGATCATGTCTATTAGTATTCCTGCACACAGCTTAATTCAGTCTTGCGTCACAGAATCATAAGTTGTATCAAATAAATTCAATAATCGTTTAAACACAAAGCTAAGTGTTAAACAGGATTCATTTAGACATAATTAAACTGATAGATGTTGCAATTTCTCGTATTATGTAATGATGTCACTCATTTAACTGATGCCAAGATGCCATTAAAACACGCGTAAGTCATAAACGTTTACAATTTGGAATCAGCATAGTCTTAAGTTTGTCAAGTAAGTACTATTGTCACAAATGAAAGCAATGAAAGGCTGGCACATAAACTAAGTACTCTTATTGTACGTTTATTATATATGTAAATATGTAGATAGTTTACGCGGAGAAACTTGTGAGATAAGTCAAACTTTTGACAATAATTCATCATAGGAGCTGTCTGCATTGTACCCGACATTTTGTTAGAAAAGGCGTTATAAGTGCTGTTTTATATTGTCTAAATAAGACATTGTTGACGTTCGCTAAGTATGTTGGTATATTTTTAGATGTTAACATACTCAATGCATATGATTGATTTGCTAACTAAGGTTAATTATTTTTATCACATAAACCGCGGCGCAGGAGTGTAATAAAGCCATTTAATAATCAAAGCACAGAAGGCGCTGAATTTGTTTGGGTCTCAGAATGTAAGAAAGGTGCAGGTTGTGAGATTATATGTTTAGTGCCACCAATGCTTTCCAGCGTTTTAATTGTAGTAAATTGGCTATAAGACTAATTGCAACACTGATATTCAATCCAATGTTTATTTGACTTTAACAATTTAAAAAAATAAGTTACCTTTACTGGGATTTGAACTCCAGACCTCTCGCTTCCTAAGCGAGCCCGAAAACCCTTCAGCCACGGTTAAATTTATATGTGAACGGCCTGAAGAAAACCATATTATTCTAAATTAGGGCTTGTAACGACTTTTAACTGTTGTTTAACACAGATGTAAATAATCCTGAAGCTTACTATAAGCATGTATATTTATAAAGAATCAAAGGGCTTCATGTTCTTTGGTATTTTCTGATCTTTGCAATCTAAATCGTACTGTATATCTGTATGCATTTTCCTGTATAAGTTTATTTTTATGTATTATAATTCATTTTGTAAGGCACATACGGATCTGCATAACTAGAGTTGCATCAAAAAATCATTTATGTACTTTTTTTACGACAGCCACACTTTATCCTTGTAAATAATGGCTACTTCCTTAACAAAAACAATTAAAAAAAGAATTTAACCAAAAAAAAATTTCCTCGACTGGGATTCGAACTCGAGACCTCTCACTCACTAAGCGAGCGCGTTACCACTGTACCACGGAGAAATTATACACAGTATGTCTGAATAATATCAAGTCATTCTAAATTTAGAACTTCCATTGCATTCAGGTTTGTAATCCTTATTAATTTCGAGGTATTTTGTTCAGGGTAAACCTGTTGTTTAAAATTGAAGTAAATATTTTAGCGAAAATCCTCTCGCCCAAACAGTCCGACATGTAGAATCTATATATTCCACTACTCGGTTTGTGTAGTATTCGGTAATCTACATGGCTAAAAATAGTATTTTTCATTGATAAAATCATATTCATCCGCGTAATTTGTGATTGTGCATTTATTGACAATTCTATAAGCCAACGCTATTGTTTAACTTTAAATGCGTTGTAATTTGTTGGATACTTGTAACAAAATAAAATATTTCTTTCTTTTAAATCGCTAGTTTTAAGCTGTTTTGAGAACTACTTGTTGTTAGGTTTGTCATAAACTTCTGTGTCAGAGATTGAATGTCCGCTTTGTATTTAGTTATTTTCGATCAGAAAATACCAGAAAACAATATTAGAAATCTTCGACCATTCGGGAATTACTTTGCTTGAAAATTGATGCGCCTGTCTTTGACCATCTTTACGCAGTGATCTCCCCTGAATTTTTCGGCTTTAGTGTACATACAAAAGGGAAGTAACCGCTTCAAAAAAGTGGACTACTTTCGGCATTTGCAATTAAGAACATTAGACTCTGAAATTTCAGTTAAGTGCGCATGCGTGAAGTATGGCGGTCAAAATTTCTGTATGAAAATTTTCAAATAAAAATTTAAAGAAACAGACGGATTTAAAGAGCAAAATCTTGTAAATTTATAACAAATAAGTGTAAAAGTTGGATTTGATTGAATATGGACTACACAAAATGTGAAATTGTTCAGATTTGGATATAAAACATAAAATTTCGAATGGGTCTACGGAACAAAGGATCTAAAAAAAGGACTAAATCACAAACGTCCCCAGTATTGGTGAGTGAAACTCCCGCTAAACGTCAAACAAACTGTACAAAAATGTCTCAATCAATGAATATGGCGGCGTCTCCCCAAGGTGTAATGCCCCAGATTATGCCTCTTCAATATTTTACTCCTTCGTCGTATCAAAATCACATGATTCCGACATCGCCATTATCTCAGGCATTATCGCAGCCAGTGAACCAGCCGTTCATTTCTCAAACACCACAAACTAGCGAGTTTCAACAAACTGTACTTGATAAACTGAATTCATTAGAAAATCGTCTGCAAAACTTGATAATATTGAACAGCAATTATCATCAATGTCACAGAAAATGACCCTGATGGAAAATAGAGTCTCCTCGCTTGAATCATCAGTTTTAGAAAATAACGGTCGAATATTAGATGTAGAAGCCAGTCGTGCTATGGATTCCCAAACGTGTGATGAACTGCTTGAGAAACAGAAATCTATTGACTCAGTCCTAAAGGGGGAGAGAGATCGTATAAAACAGCTTTCGAATAACTATGATACCCTGAAAAAACAAAATCACAATCTATTAGAAGAGGTACAAGATCTTCAATCCCGATCTATGAGGGACAACCTATTATTCTTTGGTCTTGATGAATGTAAATCGTTTGATGAGAGAAAATCCGAAAATTGTATGAACAAAATTTATAGCTTTCTTCAAAATACACTCAATATTACTGACGCCAGAGAAAAAATAAAAATAGACAGGGCCCATCGTATTGGAAATTATGTAAACAGTAAAACACGACCAATAGTAGTTAAGTTCAATTTCTACCAGGACAAGTTAACAGTTAAAGAGCGTGTGCGTGATGTGACCAAAGATCAAGATCATCCCTCGTTCCGAGTCGGTGACCAATTCCCGAAAGCGGTGCAGGAGAAACGGAGGAAGTTGATTCCTACCCTCATTGCTGCCAAACGAGCCAATAAGAATGCTTGGCTATCATATGATAAACTTTGTATTGACGGTAAAATGTTTACGGTAGATACGGTGTCACGTGCCGGTTATGATACTTATTAGGGAAACAACGAGAAACAGTTATCATTTCTACTCTGGAATGTACAGGGTATAAAATCCAAATTAAGTGACTGCGATTTTGTTAATTTTGTATCTGATTTTGATTTTCTTTTGTTAACCGAATGCTGGAACTCTAATCTGTCAAATGTTGATATTAAAGGATACGACTGTTTTGAATGTCCAAGACCTAAAATAAATAGAAAGGCAAAACGGGATAGCGGGGGTGTTATTGTGTATTTCAAAGAAATTTACCGTAACGCCGTCCAGTTAGTGTCATTTAATGTGAACGGTATTCTTTGGTTTAAATTAAAAGAAGAATACTCTAAGTGTGAAAATGACCAATACTTTTGTGTTTGCTACATTCCACCTGAAGATTCTGCTGTCTACAGACATGTTAATTCTCCATTGTTTGATTTTGATTTCTTTGAACATTTAAATACAGAGCTCCGAAAATATAGTGACCTGGGCGATATATACTTACTTGGTGACCTAAATTCACGCACCGGTGAAGAACCAGATTTTATATCAGACTTACAGTTAGACCGTTATGTTTGTATGCCGGAGAATGAAGATCAAAGCGAAAATCTACTTGTGCGTGAAAATCATGATAAACATGTTAATCCTTTTGGTGTGAAATTATTGACACTTTGTAAACAAAACAATATGTGTATTACAAACGGGCGTATTTCGCCAGGCCACTGTACTTTTCATTCGGTTAAAAGAAATAAGCCTATACAAAGTACTGTAGACTACTTGATTACTAAATGTGATAATTTTAAATATATATCTAACATGTGTGTAATGGATTTAACTGAATATTCGGACCATTGTCCTATCATTTTTTCTTTAAAATGTAATGCTACACAGATTGACAGTAAATGTAATTATTCGTATGATAAAATTGTTTGGGATACAACAGAAAAGGATAAATTTTTTAATTTACTTTTAAGTAAAACTGATTTATTTGACGACATTATAAGAAAACTTGAGTCTAGTGATATTGATTTGAACCAGGGTGTTGAGGCTTTTTCTAAACTTGTGCATGATTTATCATTTCAAAGTTGTGGTAAAACATTTTCGTCTGTCCCTATCACTAAAGAGAAAAAATCTCCATGGTTCAATGAAAAATGTCGAGATGCAAAAGCCTCATTTTTCCGTGCTAAACGTGTATTCAAGAACCATAACTCAGAAGAGAACAAATTATCATTTTTAAAATTTAGAAATGAATTCGCAAAAGCGAAACGTCATGCAAAGAATAATTTTTATAATCAGGAAAAAACTAAATTAGCAGATGTTAGTAAGACGTCCCCGCGCAAATTCTGGAAGTACATAAAATTTTTTAAAAAAACGTGATAAATCTCATAACAATGTTAGTTTGAGCGACTTTGAAAATTATTTTTCAACTTTTTCTAATTCACCAAATATACAACTGAATTCTGATTCTGAGAGATTCTCACTGATGAAACCGTTATAATTGATGTTTTAGATTCACCTTTGACTGTTAATGAAGTTATAAAAACTATATCTACATTAAACCGCCATAAAAGTTGTGATTACGAAAACAATGTAGCTGACTTTTTTATTGACGCGAAAGATTTTATATTCACCATATCTCTGTATAATATTTAATAAAATATTCGAATCAGGAATTTACCCTGAGGCCTGGTGTAAAGGTATTATTGTACCTGTTTATAAGAAAGGCGATGTTCATGACCCTTCTAACTATAGAGGGATTACCTTAGTGAATGTTATAGCCAAATTTTCTCTTTAACGCTTAGGAACAGAATAAATAAATGGTGTGAAGAAGAAAATATTTTCTGTGATGAACAATTTGGCTTTCGTGATAATCGTTCTACAGCTGACGCCATTTTTTTGCTACATACTATTATTCAAAAAGTTTTATCGAAAAAGGAAAAACTTTGGTGCGCTTTTATCGACTACCAAAGGGCATTTGACACTGTTGTGAGAGATGAGCTATGGATAAAACTACTTCAATCTGGCGTTAGCTGTAAAATGATTAACATGATTAGAAATATATATAGTAATGTAAAATGTTGTGTGAAAATATCTTCTAGTATGTCTATGTCAGATTTTTTCGATGTAACGTTGGGTTTGAAACAGGGAGAACCATTGTCTCCTTTGCTATTCATACTTTTCATAAATGATATTTCTGCAAATATTGATATAAATGCAATGACTAATAAAGATCTAGAGCTATTATCTATGTATATGATACTTTTTGCAGATGACATTGTACTGTTCACAACTGATCCTAATAGTTTACAGGCACAGTTAGACAAAATATATGATTACTCGTTAAAGTGGGGTTTGAAAGTCAATGTAAATAAGACAAAAGTGTGTGTTTTTGAAAAGAGAAGAACTGATCATAATAACGTCTTTTTTATAAATAATGAAAATATTGAAATTGTTGATAATTTCACATATCTAGGTGTTAAATTCTCATACACTGGAAATCTTCTAAATGCAGTTAAATCGTTGTCAGACCAGGCCCTTAAGGCATACCATAATCTGATGTTTATTTTTGATAGAGTTAAATTAGATATCAAAACCAAATTACAACTTTTTAATTCTATGGTTGTACCTATTTTGCTTTATGGATCGGAAATTTGGGGTGTTTACAATTTCAAAGAAGTAGATAAACTACATATAAGATTTTTAAAATATTTGTTAGGAGTACGTAAACAGACACCAAATATGGCAATTTATGGGAATTAGGGATATTTCCATTGTCTATTGTTGCAAAAGAGAGAGCACTCAAATACTGGTTGAAAATTAAAAATTCTGTAAACATGCCTATTTTTAATGCTTATATTGACCAATGCAACAATGTAAATATTTCTTGTTGGGCAAGTCGCATTCATTCCATTTTAGATCACCTTGGATATTCGCATATAAGACTTAACTTCGATACAAGTATGAATTATTTTCCTCTTTAAAAAGAACATTACGTGATCAGTTTATACAAGAATGGAATACATCGTTAAATAATATATCTAAATTAGATTTTTACAGACAATTTAAAACAACATTTAGCTATGAAACTTATTTAGATAAGATTACCAATGATATGCATAGAAAACAATTTACATGTTTAAGACTTTGTTCACACAATTTAGAGGTAGAACTAGGCAGATATAGTAGATTAGATAGAGAAAATCGTCTATGTAAAATGTGTAATCAAAATGTAACAGAAACCGAATATCATTTTCTCCTATGTTGTACAAAATACTCTCAAATTCGACAGAAATACCTTGGTAACATATCATGGCCTTCCTTGAATAAATTTAATAGTATTATGTCTTGTAACAGCAAAAAGTAACTGATTTTATTATCGAAATTTATTAAAGAAGCTTTTGAATTGCGTAAAAATACCCTTGAAACTTTAACTGTTTCATGAAAGTTTTTGTTTGTATGAATTTGTATTGTTATTATACTATTCTGTATTGTATGTCTTTGCCATACTTCATGTGTTTTCTTTGTAAATGGCCAAAGGCAATTGATTTACTGATGATGCTAATAAATTTGAAACTATTAAAGCGCGCTAATGTTAGCGTTACAATATAGGCGCGTCATTGAAAATTACTCATTTAACAGTTTACTATTCTTATTTCATATATGTGATAAATAGAATATTATATTAGTGTAGATTCAATACTAAATTTATTGAACTCGTTGAATAAAACAATATTATGCTCGCCAGAGGCTCGCATAATATAAAATTATTCAACTCGTTCAAAAAATTTAGTATTAAACTACACTCATTCAATATCCTCTATATAATAAATAATCTAGAGTGAAGATTAATTATATCAGGAGTAAAATGATAAATCTATCAAGCAATTTACAAACAAAATGATGATTATTCAACTAAATTAATTTAAGTTGATATTTTCTTCGCTAAAATTGTTGACGAAGTGTTTATCAACGAATAACGAAATTTCCGAAATTTTGAATCGCATACTTAACAATATTCGGAAATTTGATCAAACATTCGGTCTTTTCACCCGCTTTCATATATATCTCATGTTGAAATATAATCAGTGTGCATGACTGTGTTCTTGGCATTTCCAAAGATTGGCATTGCCATCAATCTTTTTTCGTATTAGCAAATCATCATTAAGTAAAGGAATTACTTGAATTTGCTTTTAGAATTAAACAGAATGATAGCATATTCGATAGAAATGTAAATTTCTTACTACATTTCCCTTGTAAAAGGTGCTTAGATATCAAAGCATCAAATGCCCAAACATTTCAACCTTAATATTTAAATTACATTATATCATTTAACAATGCTTTTGAATTCTATGAAGCGGAAAGAGTGTATGACAAAATACTCTTTAAATTCATGGGTCATACAAGTAGACAATAAAAAAGCAGATTTAAAACGACGCTTGTCGAACTTTACCTAAATTAAAGCTTTCCTTACAAAACTTGACTACGACTTTTACAGAAGGGATTGTTAATTGATTGGTTACAAAACAAAAAAGGTGTTATGGCAGGGATCCTGGCATGGTTTATTTTTTATTTTCGAAAACTTATATTTTTGCAATCCTAGTCATTGTTTTGGGTGCTGTCTGATTTATGTACTTAAAAAAACAATAATTCAATGAAAAGTGCTTTGATTTTGAAATTTTAAAATTAGGGTGAAAAGTAGTACCTCTATTTTTTGTTTTCAAAGATACTGGTTAAAAATATTAAGTAACAAACAGTTAAAAATTATTGTATATAATTTAAAATATAAACGAAATGTAATTTGAAATAATGCATAGTTTTGATTCTTCGTCTTATTTAAGAGGATCGTATTATTTTCAATTTTATCTTTATTTTCCATTCAGAATTTCCATACTATATATGGCCACATTTCAAATATGTTCTTAGTTTAATTTACAAGGTTAAGCAGTACACTGACAATATTCAGTTCTTGACCAAAGCTGTCACATAAATATACCCATCTATAGAATGCAAAAATGTCAGCTAATCCG